GTCGCTGTCCCGAGCCGGTTCCAGCAATAAGCCCGCGAAACCCAGGACCGTTTAGAACCGAACCGCATAGGACCAGCCCACTTAAGATCGGGCCCGTAAAGCCCACTTAAGACCGAGCCCGATCCACTTGCCACCCCTATTTAGAACTACCAAGTTAGGATGGAGGGTATGTAACAAAGAATTGGCAGTGGTACGAGCTCTAATCAAGTGTTAGAGAAGTTTTGTTTCACAACAAGACAAAAACAATGCATACAATAAACTACTACGTAATAATTTAAAATCACTATTGGTACTCATTATCCATTTTGAAAGATTTGGCACTTAACCTATGTGTCGTAATTTCTTATGCTGTTCGATTTATTCCACATTAAAAACATTGGACTAACAGGAGGATAATTTATCCTTATCAAATCAGCTGAGTAATAATAAAAGGAGCAGATAATCAATGAGTGCATATCATATTTTTTATACTTTTGAAAGTCGTTAGTCTTTTCCTCACCCTTTGCTCCTTTCTTTCCTTTTCTTTTTTCTATTTTTAATCATCAAGTTTTAGTATTTATTGATCGGACTAATTCATATTCCTGCTGCGTAAGGTTATTAAAGAGGAAAATGTTTTTTTACTAGATTCTTTTTTTTATTTCTAAAGTTTGAACCCGAAAACTCTAAAAACAAGTAAAGAAATCTCATCCATCACACACATCTTCTTATGGTCTTTCCTCCTTCCTCGCTAAAAATAAAAACAGCACGACACGCTACAGGTATGTGCGGGGTACGGGGAAGGGCCGGACCACAAGAGTCTATTGTATGCAGCCTTACAATTTCTGCAGGAGGTTATTTTCACGGCTCGAACCCATGATCTATTGATCACATGACAACAACTTTACCAATTACGTCAAAAACTCGGCTCTCCTACCAACAAAAATAAGAAAAAACCTCCCTTTTATCTCTTGAAAAAACTCTCTTTCTCCATCTTCAAACTATATATATTACCCCATCTCAAAAAACCACCAAAGAATCCACAGCCATGGGGTCAGAGGAGCCAAGTTCTAGAGTACCAAAGCTTCTTGAGTTTTCAGTACCAGCAAAACAGTCACAAAAACATAAAGAAATGCCAAATTCACCACTTCACACCTTAGCTTCTGTTCCTTTTCAATGGGAACAAGAACCTGGCAAACCTAATCTTCCAAATTCCACTTTCAATATTAAACCTAAATTCTTAGAACCTCCCCCAAGACTTTATTTAGACTCTATTAAAACACCATCACCCAATACTGTATTTGATGGACCTTATAATATCAATATTAATAAGCCTAAGTTTTCCTCTTCTTCCTTTAGGTTCTTGAAAAATAATTTACAAGGAAATTGGTGGCAGAAGATTAATGTTAAACGTAAGGGTAATACTGCTGATGATAGTACAAGTTCTTCTGTATTTTTATGCTCTATTGATTCAACAGATTCTGGTAATGGTAATTGTGATAATAAAGGCAGAAGTTCCAGTGCAAGAATGGCAAGTTTTAGAAAAAATGGAAGCTTATCCAATCTCTCTAGCAGGTCTCATATATGGGTAAGTTTTACAATTCCATTTCACAGTTTTCACTCTCTTATCTCTTCTACACTTCACAAGATGATATTCTTCACTTTATTATTCGTATTTCAATAGGTTTACATTGGGTTTGTTGTTGTTATATTATTCGTATTTCAATTTTATAGAAAAAGATAGGATGTAAGTTAGGAGTACATAGGTCGGGTTGATTCGAATTTTTTAATTACCAAACCAAACTAATGATATCGGGTTTTTTACTCTATAAACCAAATCAAACCAACAAAGTCGGATTATTTTTAAGAAAATAACACAATAATATGAGATGGGTTATATCATTTTACTAAAATATTCATTAACAAAGATAATAAAATCGCATAAAAAATATTATTAATTAGTAAGCCATAAAAAAGAACATAATCTAAAAGTACTGTATAAGTCATGCTAAAATAAGTACATCTAATAAGTACTATTAATTACATGACTAAGCACTAAAGAAAAAGATAAACTAATTTATGCATTTTGTTATACAAATGCAAAACTAAGAATAGATATCCAACGATATTGTCATTTTTAGTGTTGAATTGAATTTATTTTGTTAGCATTAGTATTGATTTGACTTTATTAGAGTTACCACTTGTGTGGACTATATAACTTATTGAACCATTCAAGAATGTTAAGTCCAAATTTGAAATAATATATTAAAAGATAGAACTGTGAAAAAGTTCAAGAAATATTTAACAATTACATTACAATAAATATTTATATGAATAAAATATTTTCAAAAATTGTATAAATGTATTGTCGATTTGGTTTGGTTTCGGTTTGAATTTTTTAGTTAAACCTAAGTAAATCAATTATGGTCGGGTTTTTTTTTCAATACCATACCAAATCAAACCATATAAGATTTTTTTTTTTTCCGGTTTGACTCAGATTATCGGTTTAGTGCGATTTGTCGATTTTTTTCCCCTAATGTAATTTATATTAGTGACAACGTAAATATTTTGTACACTATTGAAATGGTAGGTCAACTTACAAATATTTTTTATTATTCGTACATAAAACTTAAACTCGATTGACAAATAGTACTTGAATCATAATAAGATTCTAAATAGATGGAAAGTGTAAGTAGGAATGTAGGATAAAAGGGTGTTTAATAGGTAGCTTGGTCCTACAGGTCTTGACTCAACCAACTTAGTCAAATCAATATGAATATAGTCAAGGTATATACCTTCTTAACGCAAGATCACTTCTAAAATAAGTTTGTTACAAATTGTTAAAAAAAGATTTTCTTTCTCCGTATATTTCGTTTTTCATTTTAGTTTTTAGCTAAGAAATTTAATCTATTGCTTATTCTTAATTTAGTAATAGCATATGTTAGGTTACACTTTATTAACCGAAAGTTTTGACAGGTCAAATTGATCAATACTCTCAACCTTTATTTACATTTATTTTGTTTGTTATCAATAGCCCAAACTATCAAACTTTCAACAAATTGCGGTAGGTACATAAATATAAGCACATGGGTAAGACTGCCTAATAATATGGGGCGGTTGAATTGAAGAAGATGGCTATGGAGCTAAGAGCTAACCTACTCTTCCCTTTTAGCCAAGGCTATATGCATATACATATCAAGATTGTCGACAAGTGAGGCCTGCTCAGTTGGTAAAAGCACCTCCACCCACGACCGTTAGGTCCGAATTCGAATCACGCTGGAGGGGAAGTGTGTAAACACTATAAATTCTTCTATTTCGGGAGGGGTTTAAAAAAATATATCAAGATTGTCTTTATCAATTTATAAGCATGAATAGGGTGGAAAGATAGGTGTTGTTTTCACATATAGGTTGCTCAATTTCTATCCATAAGGAAGATATTTTGATATTTTGATAATGATGGGAATATGTGAGAGAAATGATACCAAATAGCCACTCTAAAGGGCTGTTATTTAGGAATTAGTTAATGTGTCCTGAATTTTAATTTATCAGTTCAATTTTTCGAGATATAAATGTCCTAAATTGTCCTGAAAATTAAGATTTTAGTTCAATTTTTCAGGACAAAACAAGTAATGATAGTGACTAATCCCTAAACAGGAGCACTAAGAATGGTTGTTTGTGCACTTTCCCCGAATATGTGCCTACAATCGAGTGGTGTGGTGGATCGGTCAGAAATCATTTATTCTTAAAAAGATGTTTCGACATCAAATCCTATAATGGAGAACCTTTTTAAAGAAAGCAATTTACCAAGTTAGTCCTCTTAATTTAGTGCGAAACTAGATTAGTCAGACTAACGAAGTTACTTCCTTTAGTTTAGTGCGAACCTAGATTAGTCAGACTTGCGACTCACTAGTTTCAAATACTTAAAAGGTAAAAAAGAAAAAAGAAAAAAAAAAGCACCAACTTCTTTGCATATTCTGTCTAACATTTCTACACATTACCATTCAAATCTATGTTCTGTCAGAAATCATATGCGCGATGTATTGAGTTGGATCATTGAAACGGTATGGTCTCTGACCTCGACTAATTCCATATCAGTGGGTTTCTACTTTCTACCAACAATATTAAAATGGAAGGTGAGAGACGCCCACTCTATACTTTTTCGCCAGCTTTTCTGCTTTGACATAAAAAGAAAAATCACCTAATATTTTTGTCTAGACTGAGATTTGAACCAAACATTTCATGGTTAACTCACTTCATTAACCACTAGGTACCTCTTGAATGATATTTCATAGAGGTGTCAAATGGACGGGTTGAGCCAATTTTGAACGGGTCAAAACGGGTTGAGTTAATAAATGGACGGGTCAAATGACCCGCCCAAAAGTTACTTGAGCTTATATATATGAGTTGGGTCAAGATGGGCTAAAATTTGGGTCATAGTCCAACCCGTTCAACTCTTACCAAATTTTAGTTAATATGTATTGTTTTCTTATGAATTGTATAATTACTAAATAAGATTTTTTTTTTTTCTTTTGCTATCATAATCATATCTAACATATCAAACCAAGAAGATAAATTATTTCTAAGATATTTTGGCAAACTACTCATGGATCAATTTGGACTAAATATCAATCCAACTTTAAACGGGTTGAGAATGGGTTGTGTCAAGATGGACTAAATTTAATAAATGGGCGGGTCAACAATCAGCCCAACCTTAAACGAGTTGGGCAGGTCATTTGGGCTTGGGCTAAATTTGACGGCACTACTATTCCATCAACATTTACAAAAACATGTTTTTTTCCTTCTTCTAAATACCCATTATAAAGTAAGCATCGCTGAGAGATCTGGGCTGAAATGTTTTACAGTCACACATCTCTATAACATTCCTATATAATACTTCACTATAAAAGTCAAGCTTTTTCGGAACCAATTTTTATGTTTATGTTATAATATATGTCCTCTTTAACAACACTTCGCTATAACATCCAAAAATATTCAGAACAAACGAGGTTGTTATAAAGAGGTTTGACCGTAGTAGGCATATGGTTCGCCTTTTGTTCTGTTTTATTTTGTTTTCCTTTTTGAACTTCATTCTTATCGACAAAATTACACAGGCAGCCATATACGAGGGTTTCAAGCAAGTCATACCAAGGAAGAATAGCAAATCAAAGAAGGAAGTGCACTTCTCGTAACTTTCAACACGAACAGTCATTTTGATCTTATGGAAACTTGTTAGTTGATGTTCGTCTAGTATTACTAGAATCCTTGTAAATTATATTTCAAGTACGATCGATGCTATTTGCAGAGTATATTTCAAGTACAATCAATGGTATTTGCAAATTATATTTCAACTTAAAGTCGAAATAATAGGGGGTGGGCAGTCGGTTCGGTAGAATTTCGGTTCGGTTTATTCGGTTTGTGATTTTAATAATCAAAACCGAACCATAATAACTTCGGTTCGGTTCGATTTAGAGCTCGTTTGGATTGATTTATTTTAAGTGCTTTTAAGCCAAAATAACTTTTAAGTCATTTTGTAGTGTTTGGATAAAGTAAAAAAGTTTTTTTAAGCACTTGTTTTTAAGCTAAAATGACAAAAATAAGCCAAAAACTAGAATTCCTAACTTATGGCTTAAAAGTCACTTAAAACAAGCCCATCCAAACATGCTCTTATTCATGTTTTAAGAGTTAAGGTGCACAATTTCGAGCTCTTGCCTTGTTTCAACTTTATCCTATTACTAAATAACAGTTCAAAACTTTGTTAGTTTTCAAACTTAAATAATATCATGGAGAAAAATAGTAACCGGATTCTTGATTAAGCTTATTCGATCAAATATAAGTAAAGAGATTGATACATAGAAGCTACTACAGATGCCTACACAATACGTTTTCTCCTAATGTGAGACAATATACCTAATTATTTTGTTTTTGATAACCGTGGTGTCCGGGCAGCTTGCGCGCACCAGCAACAAATATCAGGTAACTCTATCCACCAAGGCTTGGATAGATAGGAAGAAATCACCTAATATTTGCCTCCGTTGGGATTTGAACCTGAGACCTCATGGTTTTCACCCACTTCATTGACCACTAGGCCACAACCCTTGGGTGCGACAATATACCTAATTTAAAATATAACATTCTAACAATCACACGCAAATTCCAAATTTACTTTTCGTAGACCCAAAAAAAATAGTTAAGTACAAGAAATAATAGTTATCATGTTCAATTATATTAACTCAAAAATCCATCTGGACTAATTCAGATTTTAGGGATACGTTAAATAAAATGATATTAAATGCAAGGAATTGTCGAACTGAGATGAATTGAAAATGAAATCGGCCGTAATGAGAAAGATTTTGCTAACTGAGGACAAAAAAGAAAGGGGAAGTGGGGAACTTACACGTTAGCTCGCGAAGAGCAAGTTCCAGCACAGAAGGAGAAGAGTATCAGTTGGACTGTGAATAATCTGTAGGAGGCTTAGGCTTCTGAATTAGTTTTGGGCTTTAAGGCTAAGAAAGAGTAACACGGTAAGGGACTAAGTAAAAAACTTGTAAAAAAATTCGGTTTTCCGGTTTAACCGAAAACCGAACCGTTAAAACCGATCACCGAACCGAATATCGAAATTTTTAAAACTATAAACCGCAAACCGACCGAATAAACCGAAACCGAATAAACTGAAATTTTCGGTTCGGCTGATTTTTTCGATTCGATCTGTATTATGCTCATCCCTACTTGCACGAGCCGAATTCCCGGAGAAAGAGAATAAATACAAGCAACTCAAATAGTGAAAAGCCTCTTACATGCATTGACTGGGTAATTAGTGAAGGCAATTTCTCATTCAAACGAGCTCGAATACAAAATCTTTACACAAATGAAGATCTTATTTCCATTTTTTATCAGAATGAACAAAGAGAGGTGTAGCTAACACTTGCAATACAAACCTGACCGGCAGGTTATCCTTGTTTTTTACCAGACACACCAGCAACCACCTGCAAAACATGGAAAGGGAAGATTTCTGTTCAAGTATAAAGTAGACGCCTCATCTTCTACTTAAACTAATGAATTGGAGGGTAATTAAGGGATCTTTAGAAATCCAGACGCGATCCTTAAATAGATTCCACATACTTCACCGTCATAATCCTTTCTCAGCCTTTGGAATGTTATATCCGGCTAACTCAAGAGGTCTATTCTATTGACCAAAGAGATACAAACTATCTAGTAGGAGATGGTAGATTGACATACGCCGCCTATCAGTCCTAGCAGTTTACAACTCAAATTTAAAATTACCGCTTAGAGTGGCAAAAAAGAAAAAACTACAGAATGAAGGCCAACAACAACAACAACAAACCCAGTTTCCCACAAGTGGGGTCTGGGGAGGGTAAGATATACGCAGCCTTACCCCTATAGAATGAAGGCCATTCAAAAGAAAAACAAAAAATGAAAGACATGATTTTTAGCAACCACTAGATCCTTATAGCATGTAGAGACTAGCATAGCCTGTTACAAATTGCCTTACTGCATAAAAGATTACACCCATTATGTCTTTGTTACCCATCAAATAAGATTACAACCATTATGCGTCACCAAGAGGGACATAAACTGAAATACAATATCTAACAAGCTGAAACTGACAACGAAATTGAGAAAAAAGAGAGGAAATAACCAGGAGAGTTGCACTTGAACCAGTAGGAACAGATTAACTCACATCACTTAGAGCAGGTTGAGGGATTTGTTTTGATGATTCAAAAGAATCAAGCATTGGCCTTACGACTGCAGGAAGGAAAAGGCCTGAAAGTTGACAATACAAGAAATGTAAGACCAACTAATTCACAGACAAAAGTTAAAGCAAAATTCAGGAGGCAAAGACGAGGAAAGGTGCATTTCAAAGACAATATCAAACCTGCACTTCAACAGTATCTAATTAGCTTCACCCATTTATCATCCCTATTGACCAACTTCTTGAATAGGTCATAAGGAATCAACCATCACTAAGCATGTTAGACTCCAGCGCAACAAGGTCATATGCATTGCCTCCCCAGGAATGGGTTGGGTTTGACACTGGGTGATGTAAACTAAGATCAGTGTTATCAAAGGCGAAAAGCGCAAAAAAGCTCTAAGGTCTTGTTGGGGCTTTAAGCGCAAAGCGCAAATAAAGCGTGGGCTTTAATGAAGAAGGCGCAAATGGAGAAAAACTACAAATATGTATGTGTAGTCCAAGATTAATATATATAAGCATGAATACCAAATATATGGACAAAGAAATTGAAGAAGAAATATCAATTGTTTAGTGTCGCCTCTTCCGGATTATGCTCGTTAGCAGGAAAAGTATGTCTTAGAGCCTTGATGACAACATTGAAGCGCCTGTTAATGGATTGACGTTTAAATCCAATGCTTGAGGGACTTGTTTTAATGGATTTAAACGTCAATTTGCCGAAACCCAAAGCTTATATGGGAGAGGAATCGAAACAAGCCCAAGATTCAGATAAAAGAAAAAAAGTTGAGTGATATGGTGAAAACACATGAGTAACATATGACGTCACACATCAGAACTCTCCAAAACTTCCCATGTAAGGCTTGACCTAATAGCCTGCGCCACACAAGAAAATAATCCACTAAGCACTACTGACACCAACAGGATCGAGGCTCCCCGAGAGAGCAAAATATGGAGTCTATTGTGTATGCAGCCAATATCTCTGTGGTAGAGGAGACAACTGAAAACAGAGGGATTTATGTAATAAACTCTAATGCAAGATAAATGGCTCAATAGTTACACAGACACACTTCTCCAATCTCTTGTCACAGTAACACTGGCTTTTAAATCCACTAGGTCAGCATATGTTAAGATCAACTCCAGCCTCAAACAAAACCAAAATTATCGAAAACATTGCACTTGATGGAAATTGTTTACTGGATGAATCATTTGATCATTTCTATTTTGGATTGGAAGTCGTCCAAAATATGAGACAAGATAATCTGAATAACTACTGCCCCCACCCCCCANTGTACTCTGGATTTAGATGCTTGATGCACGCACGCACAAAGCGTGTGTATTCCTTTTTCTTGGTTGATAATTACACATATCAGTATAAATAAGATGCTAAGAGTCAGAAATTGTACACTATTCACAGTTAAGATCAGGGGGCGGATCCAGCCCTTTGGTACCAGGTTCGTCTGAACCCGATATTTTCGACGCGTAGCATAAATTTATGTGCAAAAATTCATTAAATTACAAAAAATAATAGATATGAACCCATAACTTTTTAACTATAATGGGTTCAATGCTAAAAACCTTAAAAGTTGAACCCATAGAGTTTAAATACTAGATCCGCCTCTGGCTAAGATAGATCAAGGCATGCATTTTCTCTACTAATGTTCATGTCTCTCTAGGACTCACACACACACTCTTAACTACTCTCTATATGCAGCTGATAGACAATACCAAATGCACCAGTAGATTCACAGCATGTAAGGCCGAGCATCGAGTCAAACCCAGCCGAGCTTATTACAGTATAGCCGAGCCTAATAGCTAAGCTTTATTACAATATAATTGAGTTCAAGCCGAGTGAGCCCGAACCAATGCTTTATTGTTTGCTTCTTCACAGTGGTACGCCTTTAGGAAAATTCAAATTCATAATAAATTGATTGATATCCAAATGCGATTGAACTAAATAAATTATAAGCCTAAATTTGAATTAAATCCATGCATATCAGTAAAGGTCGAATCTAAAAAGAATCAGTCAGCCGGAAAAACGAAAAGGACAACTAAATTTAAAAGGAAAAAAAAAAACTTTAGCTAAATTACACTATTGAAATAGCTATTTAGCAGAAAAGCGAGATTCTTCTAAATTAAAGAGCAAAATATAACATTTTAAGATATTAGATGGTTACCGAAACCCGCGATGAGACAAGAAGCAGCTACAACAGGCTCTTGGACTACGAACATTTTCAATTTCTCCATTACCGGCATCTTTCTTCCTCTTCGATTACTTTCCTTTTTAGGCTCTCAATTCCTGAGATCAAATGCCTGAAGAAGATTTTCGGAAACGGGTTGGATTCTAGTGATGTGATCTTAATTATGTCAAAATTATGACCCGGCCCATAATATTGAAAC